AGTTCCAATTTTGATCCTACTCGCCAACCACCATATCTTATTTCAAAATAGGGAGTATCTCAACAACACTTATTTCGAAATAGAGCACTCTTCCTCCAACTTCCCTTACTCCTCATACAATGAGGGTTACAGGAGTCGGAGTAAGAAATCCTCCAGATTGACAGTATTTGGACACTATTTTGAAATAACTGCCTGCTGTGTAGACACAGACTAAGTTATTTTGGAATAGCGCTAGTTATTTCAAAATAGTGTTGCAGTGTAGGTGTATCCTGGGTGTTACATATGATGAAGGCTAAGCTTCCATGGTGGTAGCATTGTCATTATCTTGATTGACACTCACATTCATCTCAAATCATGTCAAACTATGAGGGTATATTTGGTACTTTTCCAGGCTGAACCTGCGTGTGTTTGGTTGATGTAGAAAGGTGAACATATCTTTTTATTTGTCTTTCTTGTGGTTTATATTGATTATCTTATCCAAGTTGTTAGGTATTCATATACTTCAAAGTTTGCCAACACATTGTTGAAAACTTTGATCTTGTAAAGATGTTAAATGACATTATAGCCTCTGAGCTATTAAACACACAAGTACTGGAGGAAAATTTCCAAGGCTTCCTAGTTTCTGATTAATAGGGTTTGCTAGGGCTGATGTCAGTCCTGATCTAGATTTCTACAGCTTCTTTTAATGCTGAAATATATTTCTCTGCAGAAAATACGTGGCAAGTACTGTACACCAATATTCAAAGAGCTGATAATCAGTGACTGATAGATAGGAGGGGAATTTGTACCTCTGTTGTGTTTCTTCCTGTCTGGGGAAGAGAGTTGGCGTTTTTCAGGATTTTTATTTTAATTGACAGGCACATGTGGTAAGAACTAGAAATCCATCTGCAGTGAGAATAATTTGGAATACAGACAGTTAACAAGTCACAATAGGGTGTTGTTTTCCAGAGCAGAGAGAGAGACTCGTGATAAACCAATAACCTGCACTCCCTGAGCAGGGTTAACAAGATGGCAAACAAATCTAAACTAGATTTTGCCGTTGCAGATCCAGATTTTCGAAGCGTTTTAATCCAGCCTCTAATTTAGTTACTGCTATTTTGAGCCTGCAGTCTGTCTGAGCAAACTAAGCGGACCATGGAGTGCTTACAAACTTGACAGCTTACAGAAGGTGGGAAAGACTTCTGATCTGTTCTGAGAAGCAAGTAATTCCAACTGGCTGGTAGGGATGTGGGTGAAATCTGATGCTGGATCTTCGCAAATACGGATGATACTTATTCTGTCTGGAAATCTTTTTGGTGAGGGTTTTTGAGCTATTCTAGCACATTCTAATCTTATTTGATCATCACCCTTGCTCAGAACTGTTAATTCAACAAATCCCCTTTAGAATTGTGGATCCCCATTAACTCTTTGTCACAGTTGAACACACCAACTGCATCGTCCCCTTTTTCCCATGGTCTCTCTGATGGGCTGCCTTGGAACTTTTGGACTTTTACTCTGAGCCACAGATTCTTAAATATCCTCCTCTTTGAAACCCATCAATTCCATTTAACAACCTGAGTGTGGGAAATAATATTATCTACTCTTATTTCCTTTTTAATTCCTCTAAACGCTTCCTTGCATTCCTCTTGGGTGCTTCTTGTGCTGTGTGCTAGAACACAGAGGAAGGAACTGTGATCCTCTACATGGAATTCTTCTCAACTATGGTCAGGAATCCAGCCAAGCTCTTAGCTAGGGTTGCTCTAGCTAGGCGATAGTATTCATTCCTAAATTCAAGTTTCATGTTTTTATGTGATTCTGGATTTATGCATAGGTTAACTAAACCACACTTTGGGGCCTCTAAACAGAAAAAATATACTAGTTTTTAGTTTCATCTTTGCCTAAATACTGGTAAATATGCAAATATAAAATTTTATTATTTCTGTTTTCATTGTCCTTTCTGTTAGAATATTATACATTTTTAGGTACTGCTGTGGGGCCTCTTAAATTTGATATAGTTTAGAGCCTCAGCATGTCTTAATTTGGCCCTCATATTCTTAACTGCCTTTATTTGGAGTATATCTTCTATAGTTGGTAGCTTTGGCTCCATATATAATTTAATATCAGTTTCAGAACTAGGAGGTCCAAGTGAAATTAATAGTGAGTAGGTTAAAACAAACTAAAGGAAGTTTTTCTTCTCATTGCGCACAGTTAACCTGTGGAACCAGTTAACAGGATTCAAAAAAGAACTAGATACATTCATGGAGATTAGGTTCATCAATACTTATTTGTGTCCCTAGCATTTGTTGTCAGAGGCTGGAAATGGATGACAGGAGAGGGATCACTCGATGATTACCTGTTTCTGTTCACTCCCTTTGGGGCACCTTGGATTAGCCACTCTCGGAAGACAGGCTACTGTGATATATGAACCTTTGTTCTGACCCAGTAGGGCCATTCTTATGTTCATATATGATAACTGGGATAATTTATTTTTTAGTTGAAATATGAAATTAGGTGCATAATATAAGCAATAAAAGAGACAAATTGGTTTTATATCAGGAATCTGAACCCTTATGTAATTTGCCTTTGTGAATACAGAAGATGACAATTAAAAACTGTGCTCAGAATTAACAGATTTTCTTCACTTCAATGTTCATTGCTCTTTGGAAAGAAGACACTTTGTCCTCAGTTACGCTTGTAAAACTCAGTTTGGTTTTACAGGTTTAACTAAGAGAAGAACTAGTCCCACTATGTTCTGTGAGACCTAGCAACAGAATACTTATTTATATGGAGGGAGTTTTCTTGGAAAGGGCAGAAAATTCTCTGAGGTCATGATGGGTTAAGATTCTTGGAAGCTATTACTAAGAAACTTAAATTTGACATTGTTAATCAAAGCACCAAGGAATTTTCTTTCCTACAATCTACTTACTGGTTGTTTATAGATGGCAGATTATGATAGAGTGTGCTAAATATGCCACTTGGCATCACCAGAGCTTAATTATGAAAAGCTCTGTATAGTTTGCAACAGGCTTTAAATTGTGATGTGCAAGATGTATTAGTACTGCTTTAGTAAGAGATATATCCATAAAATGCGTAATTCAGACAAAAGCCATTTGCTATAGAGTCAGAAACTCTGTACTTTTTGGAGTGGGTAACATTGCAGCCGACAGAGTGTGGAGGAGAGAATGAATTCTGTTGTCCTAAATGAAATGGCAGATCTTGCTAGGATAATATTGTGTCTCAGTGAGATAACACTGTTTATAAGATTATAAGAATCTGGTAACACTTTAGAGTACTAAATACTTAGCTCAAACTTGATTGATGGTTATTTTAAGTTTACTACGTGAAATGCTTTTAAAGTTGTCCCTAATTGTTTACGAGGCTCTTGATCTATTTCTTGCAGCACTGAATGTTTAAAAAATGAAGAAAATATTCTGAAATTACTGGACACAATATCAAGAGACCATTTTTAGACATATGCAGTTGTCTGCTTTGGGCTCATGTCTTGCTCTGATGTCTGTATTTTATCTCTGAGGCTATGTCTACACTGCCTTTTTTCGTGGCAGAAGATATTCAAATCGTGCGCTCATTTGCATATCTTCTGCCAATCCTTTTTGCGGAAGAGGTTTTGCCGCTAAAAAGCCCTGTGTAGACGGGGCCATTTGTCAGAAAAAAAACCTTTTGCGCAAGATCCCTTATTCCTCAAAACTTCAAAAAATGAGGTTTACCAGATCTTGCGCAAAAGGCATTGGCTGTCGGCCCCACCCCCAGAGACTACAGAATAGTTGACTAACCAATAAGAATTCTTGAGGCTACTCAACTATTCAATTAACTGATATTTAACATCCCTAGTCCCCAGGCTGGTAAGTACTGGCTACATTTTTTTCAAGATCAGGGTACATCTTGCCATCAGTCATACCAAGAAGTGGATTTAGAATCTCCCAAAGAGAAAACAGTTCTATTTAACACTGCTTAGTGTCAACTTCGAATCACTGAAGATAGTTAAGAGTTGTAATGTATATTAGTTCAGTAAGTATATTTCTGTATGACGTTGGTTGATATTGGTAACAATAATAAGGAAAAAATTTTAGAAATAGAAATATCTGGGGCAAGTATTTATATATTACAAGAATGTATGGATTTGTTCATCAGTTTATCAGTAACTGGTGGAGAAGCTCTTCTTTGCTTTCCTTTGAGCTGGGATTCCAGTGCTGTCCCTGAGTTCTGTGTTCAACATAATTTTTCACAAAAAGTATTTTCCATTTTATTCATCTCTAACCTTTACTTTTGAGGTTCAGGCACTGCAAAGTTTAGAACAGTTTCTTGTATCTGAAAATATTTTCCTTTTTTGTCACAATTTGAGTGCTGATGTGAGTCGCTATTTCAAGAGTTCTAATACTTTCATTGGCTGGGTAGATGGTGAGAGAGATGTAGCTAGTTCATAACAAGTTATCTATTTTCTCTTTGTGGATTATAGGATGGTTCCATTTTTGTTTTAAAAAAATCAATTTTATTGTCATGAAAGGTAAAAATCTGATTAGTCTTTCACTGACATTGAAAACTTGTAAAATCAGTAAGTATAGTAGAGCTGATTAAAAGGGCAGAGAAATTTTTTGTAGAAATTTCAGATTTTTGAAAATTTCCTATCACTGTAAACAACGGCAGAAAACATTTCTTGAAAAATGTTTATAAAATTTTTCTTAGAAAATTCTTGAACAGTCAAAATTATTGACCATTCTAACCATTATATACTGTCAATATGAACCTGATTCTGTAGTTGGATTGAGTATTGTGTCCTAATGGACACCCATTGAAGTCAGTGGCTCTCCTCACAGATATAGGAGTCCATCTGCATGCTGTCAGTTGTAGATCGGAGCCCACAAAATAATTTTTTTCTATTACATTTTATTCTATATTCCTAAATAGTCCTAGGAATGAAATTTAGGAAGAATACTATCTCACAGTTATTTTCAGTGGCTATAGTTAGAAAGCTAAGTATGACTTTGTTTTTCTGTTAATGTCAGGAAAGGAATGGTACTTGCTGCGTTTAGAACTTATTGTGACAGATGTGAATGACAATGCACCTGAATGGGTGATGAATCCTTTCCCGTTCTTGGCTGTGGTATCTCCTAAAGCTGCAGGAGGAACTAAAGTGTATAAGCTTCTTGCTGTGGATAGAGATGAAGGGATCCATGGAGCTGTAGAATACTTTCTCTTGGAAGGTAAGTTAGTTATATGTACATATGTGCACGTACACATACACATAATCACTACCTTTGTTTCTTCCTCTCCATCCCTAAGTCCTTCTGATGGAGCTCATCCACTGGATCTCCTGTAGCACAAGTTAGCTTGAAGTGAGTGTGCAGACTCAGTGGTAATCTCTCATCTGCTAGAGGGGCTCTCAAGAAACGTAGTTTTGTTCTTAAGTTGAATTTGTATGTAAGTCGGAACTGGTACATATTGTAGGGGAAACTCTAGCCAAACATTTCTCCAGAGCTCAGTTTTATTCTCCCACACCTCACTTCCCTCAGTCCTTTATTCTCAAGCTGAGGTGTCTGTGGAGAAAAGCCGCTCTGTGTCTCCCTCGTCTGCTGGAGGGGGAGTGCTAGCTTCGCGTCTCCCTGGTCTGCTGGGGGGAAGCAGCTAGTGCGGGGTTGCCTCACCCCGTTTGTAAGTAGGGATCTGATGTAAGTCGGATCCATGTAACCCGGGGACTGCCTGTAGTTTAAAACTGACAACCTTGAGCAGAAGGCTATGACAGCCCTAGCAATGAATTGGTTTCTCGAGAGTAGCCAGGGATTTTTTTCCAGATAGGAGTTTCTAGTAGGAGCTATTCTCCCAATTTTACTCCAGTAAAAAAATTACCTAACAATAGTCTCTGGGTTTATATTTCTACTTAGGTGGAGAAGACAGATTTGAGGTTGAGAAGGACAGTGGCTGGATTAAAACAACAGGATTGCCACTAGTGAAAGACAGAGAATACCTACTAACTGTGTTAGCAGCAGATAAACTTGGTAATAAAGGGTCTCCTGCTTCTGTTTCTGTGATTGCGGGGCTTCGACCACCACGGTTTACCAACATGTCATATGTTGTGTATGTTCCTGAAAACACGCTCCAGGGAAAATCGTAAGTACCTGTTAAAAGTCATAGTAATACCGGTTAATATCAGGGGGTTATAGCACAAGCTTAACTGTGATATCATCACCCAGAAGCCTTCACATTATTTGCAGATGACAAATAAATATGATGATTGGCAATAGATATCCTGGAGAGAGGAGTGTCTGAGAGAGAAAAAGTTTGATTAATTTACTTTGTAGCCATCACAAATAACTGGGCATGTATATTAAAGTACTAAAGCTGCTGCATACTGAAATGGGAACACTAAAAGAAGGTAGGTGTGCCTGGGCATTATCAAAGTGCATTTGCCCCAGTCTAAAAGAGCAATTGCACTTTCTAGAGGATTAAAACAAAACCACATCAGCCATCTTAGTAAAATATTTGCAATGTAATCATTTATGATTTACTGGAAGATGTAATGTTTTTGTCTCCATTTCATGCAAATTAAAACCTTGATCCTGCTGCTCCTTTAAGCTTGGGGGATCTTCAACAAAGCTCTTAGCACCTTGAAGGATCAGGCAACAAATGGCTAAGGGATATATTTTCTATTTGAAATAGTATGTTTTTTCTCTGATTTTTCTTCTTTTAAATATGTATTAAATATCTACACAGTTGCAGATGGCCACAAACCTCAACAGAATCAGCACCAACAACATGCACTAACAAAAAAGATCAAATTGAAAGTTAAAAAATTGAAGATATTTTAGGACAACATTACCCAATTTTGAAAATCAACAGGCTTCCATAATACTAATAAAAGTTCTGATCCACAGTTCTGGGAACTTGTATTAAAAGACTTTAACGTTAAAGGTTCTCTCATATAAATACATTGGACCCTGTTAAAAACTAAATGGGTCTCTAGTAGCTGACTGTGGTTGAGTGAAGTAGTGTGTTACTTTGACTCAGTTACTGCCCTAGTGAAGTCAGTACATGACCCCCATCGACTTTATTGGAAACAAGATTGTGCCATACTAGAATAAAGAATCTCACTTTTATCTTTTAAGGCTTTTCATATGGCCTTAGATCTTATATATACTGTATTACTGACCTGCTTTTTTCTTTTACAGTTAGCTCCTCAAATATTAAGCTCCTCTGATGAGGACAGGAAATTAATTGTTTCCTTATTAGGCTGTATCCTTGGCTCTTGATTTAACTTTATTTCCTGATCTGAAAATCATTGCACCATATTGTCAAGAAAGCAGACTAAGCAAATTCAGTTAAAACTAAAATAAAGTCCTCCCTTTCTAGCCTGACTAGATTGTCAATTATTAATATATCCTATTTCTAAGGTTCCCAGCTCTTAACCTGTTTTGCCTTTAAGATAGCAGGTCTGAGGAACATTTTATAAAAATAGCATCCAGTCGCATAGTCTTAGACACAATCCTCACATACTTGGTGAGTTTTGCTCACATCAAGCATGCAGAACTGGGTATGCGGTTTATTGTATCTTTTACCATATTCTGCTGTTTCAGAATTTTAATACTCAACATCACAATATTAGGAAAACAAATATAAGAGGTTTGTTTTTGTGGATAAGAACTTCAGAGAGGAAAATAGGAATTTTGTGTTGATGCCTTTTCTCTTTGCCTTTTTGCTTTTCATTGTTATCCAGGTTTCTTACAGTCTCTGCTTTGTCATATCAAAATAAATCCCTGAGCTACAATTTACTAACTGATCCTAGTGGGCTCTTCAGTATCCATCAGGCAACAGGAGAGATCAGCTTGACTCGGAGTGTGGATTATGAAAGCGACCAACACCAATACTTGCTTCTGGTCAAAGCAACAGAAAGTCCACAGGAGTTTAGTAGTATAGTTGAGGTAAAGCTACACCTTTCTCCATTTTTTCCCCTGATTTTCCTGCATTTTATCCAGGTTATTCCCGCTTTAATTCCCATCCCCTCCTTTCTTCCTCACTTTCCATCCCACTGCACTCCTAATCTTTGTGTTGTATCCTTCTCTCTGGACCTTGGTCTTTACTTGGGAGTTATTTCGAAATAACTCCCCTTATTTTGAAATAACATGCGGAGCATCCACTCTATCAAGCCTGTTATTTCATAATAACTCCTGCTTTTCATGAGGAATAACGCCTATTTCAGAATTGCTATTTTGAATTAGCGAGAGTGTAGACACTCCCCTGCTGTTATTTTGAAATAATTGTCCTCCAGAGGCCTCTCACAGTGTACTTGTGGCCACTCTGGCGACTCCTGACAACTCCAATGCTCCCCCTCTCCTGCAGAACTTAAAGCTGCAGGCAGAAAGGAAAGGACTTGTGGCATGAGGAGAGCTTTGACAGCCCTGTGCCACACAGCACCCATCCCATGAGCCATGGCTAACCTCAGCGCTCCCTCTGTGCCCCCGACAGCTGCCAGGACTCCCGCAGCACCCTTGGTGGCCACTGGCCAGGGACAAAAGACGGCAGCAGCCTGGATTGGTGTAGAGATCCTAGACCTCATTCAGGATCTCCGCACCAGAAGGCGGAATGCAGATGTCTACGGCCATATGGCTGACAGCCTGACAGAGAAGGGACATGTGTGGACCTTCAACCAGGTCTGCATGGAAATCAAAGCGCTCCTGAAATGATCTGTTCTTGTAAGATTCTTCCTTCCTTTTCAGGGGCTCAGTTTCCTGCCTCTGCACAATTCCTAGCCCTTGCCTGCTCATATGGGAAGAAATATCAACAGTCCAGACCTGATATCAGTCTCCTTATTCTAAACTGCATGCATAGCATGATGTACATTTTATACCATTTTAATGTAAAAAACAGAGTATGTGAACACAGAATGATTTTTATCTTAAAAAATGGGGAGAAATCTTATAAAAATAAAACAATGGTAATTTTAATGCATATATTGTATCTGAGGGTATGTCTACACTACCCTCCTAGTTCGAACTAGGAGGGTAGTGTAGACATACCCTCAGATACAATATATGCATTAAAATTACCATTGTTTTATTTTTATAAGATTTCTCCCCATTTTGCCGCCATTTTTAAAACCCCGCTGGTTCGAACCCCGTGCAGCGCGGCTACACGGGGCACGAACTAGGTAGTTCGAACTAGGCTTCCTAGTTCAAACTACCATTACTCCTCGTGGAAATAATAAGAATGTATTGAAGGATATAACAGTGGAAAAACTGGAAAAAATGCAAAGAAAATGGAGAATCCACTTGCCCTGCAATTAAATAGGAAAAAAACTGTCAACGTTCACGTGGAAAAAAATGGAAAAATCTTGCAGTAGAAGAATTTTTGGATATGACAGTTGCCACTACTTAAGAATTTCTGTCTAACATAAAAACGGTTCTTAGCAGGAAATGAACAATCTAACAAAAATGGCTTTCCCAATGGGTTATAGCTTCTGAAATCCACTAAGAAGATTATTTTTGGAACATCCTTGCATCCAATATATCTATACAAGTGAAGACATTGCTTTGATCCACTTTGATACTACTTAATGCTCTCATCTCTTCCATTCAGGTTTTGGTTGTAATCACAGATGAGAATGATTGTGCCCCAGAATTCCAGAAATCAATCTACAGCAAAGACAATGTTCCTGAAACAGTTCCCATGACAACTGTGCTTCTGCAAGGTAAGTGCTTTTAAAACTGTTCACTACAGTCAATAGGAAAATTGTTTTCTGCTGCTAATTAGAATTTTCTTCCTGAAGCACAAAGTGCCAATTCCAGTGTGGGATGTGCAACAGCTTTGAGGAGGTACTTGGCACCTTGCAGAATTGGTTCTACTCTATGCATAGCTGAAAGGAGTTGGTGAGGATGCAGGGGGAAAGAAAGGAAATAAATCTTTTTATAGGATTATGAAGTGGCAGTACAGATGCTGTGGCTGCTATCAGCGGCTGATTTAGGACAGGGCGAGCGGGGCAGTTGCCCCGGGCCCCGCGCTTCCTGAGGCCCCACGCATGCGCTGTGGCGCCACAGCACATGCGCCGTGCCAAAGGGGGGCCCCCGTGAACTATCGCTGCCTGGGGCCCCACGCGCTGCCTGGGGCCCCGCAGCACTCTCATCTGCCCCTGGCTGCTATTACTGCCTCATGGTTGCAGTCGCCCTGCAGCTGCTGTGCCCCTCTTTCTGTTCAATATCTTCATCAATGATTTAGATATTGGCATAGAAAGTACACTTATTAAGTTTGCAGATGATACCAAGCTGGGAGGGGTTGCGACTAATCTGGAGGGTAGGGTCATAATTCAAAATGATCTGGACAAATTGCAGAAATGGTCTGAGGTAAACAGGATGAAGTTTAATAAAGACAAATGCAAAGTGTTCCACTTAGGAAGGAACAATCAGTTTCACACATACAGAATGGGAAGTGATTGTCTAGAAAGGAGTACGGCAGCAAGGGATCTAGGAGTTATAGTGGACCACAAGCTGAATATGAGTCAGCAGTGTGAAGCTGTTGCAAAAAAAGCAAACATGATTCTGGGATGCATTAACCTATATGTTGTGACACGAGAAATCATTCTTCTGCTCTACTCTGCGCTAGTTAGGCCTCAGGTGGAGTATTGTGTCCAGTTCTGGGCACCGCATTTCAAGAAAGATGTGGAGAAATTGGAGAGGGTCCAGAGAAGAGCAATAAGAATGATTAAAGGTCTAGAGAACATGACCTATGAAGGAAGGCTGAAAGCATTGGGTTTATAAAGGTATGTCTACACAGCAGTGTTATTTCAGAATAACTAGTGTTATTCTGAAATAGCAAAATGTGCATTGATACTACAAGCCTTTATTTTGAATGTCAAGTTGGAGGACTTCTTACTCTAACTTATGGTAACCCTTATTTTATGAGGAGTAAGAGAAGTCAAAGGAAGAATGTTCTTCCTTCAACTTCCTGCCATGTAGATAGCACCAAAAGTCAAATTAAGCAATTTCGACTTGAGCTACACAATTGACCTAACTGAAGTTGTGTAGCTTATTCCAACTTTAGCCCTGCTGTGTAAATGTACCCTAAAGTAGTAATGTATTAAGTTTATTCAAGAGTAGTCTAATTGATTTCTGTGCGACCACTCTTGTGTATGAAGTAAATCGTGTGTTTGCAGGACGTGGACCTGTTGGAAACAAAGTAAATTTGGGTCAACGGTGCAAATCAAGTGGGCATGAGCATATAAGTACCTACATGGGGAGAAGAGCTATTATCGTAGAGGGCTCTTTCGTGGAAGCATAACAATGTGTGGAAGTAGCCAAGCAATTAAATGCTTTACTTTGAAGGTTTACTTTTTTATATAAATATTGAAAACTTAAGTAAAAGATGTGCTTTCTTTACAGCTTGTTTTCAAACCATAGTTAATCACTACAAAATATACTATATCCTGTACCACATGTTAAAATAAATGTCATTACTGTCATTTTTTACCATTCATTAATTCTTCTATTAAAATTTATCATTTTAATCTGTAGACCTTAATCTAGGAAGTGTCTTTTTCTTCTGCTTTAATAGTGACAGCCAGCGACTGTGATTCAGAAGAAAATGGTGAAATATTATATTACACTTTGAGTCCAGATTTTAGCATATCTTCACATGGTACTGTCTTCCCAGCAACACAATTGGACTACGAGCGGCCCAACCATCTTTATGAATTTATAATTATGGCTGTAGATAAAGGAGAAGATCCAAAGACTGGGACAGCAACTGTTAGAATCCGTGTTTCAAATGTGAACGATGAAGCACCTGAGTTTTCTCAGACAATGTAAATATATATGATGTTTTTAAAACTCTGTAAATATTGCTTTTATCTTTTTACTGTTGCCCTTTTGTCTTGATATCTACAAGTTATCACGATAACTGAGACATGGTCAGAAGGCCAGGTCTTCTTCTGGTTTAAATGGGCATAACTTCATCAAAATGAGTGGATTTACACTGATTTACACTGCACAAGGATCTGGCCCAGAAATGTCATACTCCCAGTAAAATGAATCCTTAAATTTGGGTCCTTTCCATGGAATTTAGAGTTGATTTCAAGCGATTGTGAGAAATGTTCTTTACTAATGAATCTCAATAATTCAAGTTAGTCTTGAAACTTATCATTCTTCCAGTATATAAGTCCTACCAGCTTAGAGTTCCATAGGTTGATTTAGACTTGATCACTTAAAAGTAATTTAGACTATACTCACCCTTATATATCACCTCTAAATTTGGTCCAGTAAATCTAAGCTGGTGTAACTCACACATCAATAGTCCGGAAGAGACAAGTGAAGCAAGAAAAGGAGTGAAGAGTAGCATTTAAAAACATCTATGCTAATGTTAACTGCCCCTTCTATCTTCTTCCAGCTCCTCATAAAATAAATCATACCAACACAGAATATTTTACATTCACTCACATATTGGCAAATTGGAGAAAGTAAGATTAATGGGGTCTGAATCCAAATTATATATCCTTAAATATTCCTTCAGAATTTGGCCCTGAGAGTCATCTTTCTTCATTGGAAGGCTACTTCAAATAGTAGCAACAAATATATTTAAAAAAAATAGAGAGAGACCTGAAATGAAGCCTCCTATTTAACATCTCCCTTCCTGAGTTTTTGTTTTTAATATTTGAATTCCTGCATTGAAAACAGGAGCCCTGGGTCTGGGTCAGATCTAAAATATGAAGTCATATTTTTTTTCTGGATATACAGGCAGTCCCCGGGTTACGTACAAGATAGGGACTGTAGGTTTGTTCTTAAGTTGAATCTGTATGTAAGTCGGAACTGGCGTCCAGATTCAGCCGCTGCTGAAACTGATCAGCTTCAACAGTGGCTGAATCTGGGCGCCAGTTCTGACTTACATACAAATTCAACTTAAGAACCCCAGGCATCCCCAAGTCAGCTGCTGCTGAAACTGATCAGCGGCTGATTCCAGGAAGCCCGGGGCAGA